TAATCAGTGGAGAGATGTATCTCCTACTGCTGATTAGAAGCTTTGCTGCAGCATTTCTTTCCTGTGATGTTTTCTTGTACTAATAAACACTTCAATGTGGACCACTTTTGGTAAAAAAAACAAAAAAAACCCACAACTGTTGGCTTCTGGCAGAGAGCCGTGACCTGTGTCTACACCCCTGCTTTCATGGTTCATGGCATAAGCAATGGCAAACATGTGCAACAGTTCATACCGAAATGATTCTGAAAACACGCAGGCTGAATCAGAACGCATAATTTCTGATAAATGAAACATGACGCCAGCAGCTTGAAAAATGTTTTCACAGGATGCGTACGCTTGCAACACAACTGTTTTTTTAATTAGATTTTTCACATACCATGTGGGGGATTCTATCAAAATATATCAAAGTAATGTTCGGCCAAATAGCCAACAAACTGTCTCAAATGGATTTGGCTTCCTTGTGATTGTTGTGCTTGGTTATTAACATTGGAGAATTTTGTAAATGTTACCTTTAAAGGGAAGATTTGCACTCTTTGCCAGTTGTCGTTCACTGGAAGTGCAGATGAACTGAGCTCCTCATCCTTGAGCAGAGTTAACTGAACCCTGCCAAGTCCTTTTTAAAAGAAGTCACTCTTGAGATTTCTGTGGAACTGAACACCTTTTGATATTTTATTTTATCGGTTGTTGTGCCAAATACCTCAGTATGGCAGAACCATGAGCATAAAAGCAAGACTAAAGGCTCAGACATACTTTACATGTTCTGCGTCCACAGACGGCTGCTGACGGACGCGCACACGGTTCCATTCACACTACAAATCAGGGTCCGTGTCGGTCTGGGGTTTCCATGCCTGCGCAACTTCTCGATCCACACTCCATTCCAGTTAGTGGTGGTAATGCACTGTGATGCTGTTGCCAACCGCCGTAAAAAAATGAAGAAGATGAAGCATGTGCATTAGGAAAGAATTTTTGGGCTCGATCCTCGTCGAAATGGGCGGATGAAGACATTTACGTCACGCTCATCCAAGTATAAATGAGGTTTAGGAGTCAACAGCCAGGTTAGCAGCAGCCTTCCGGTGACAATGCTATGCTGATGTTTAGCTGGTTTACCATGTTCACCAACAAATTGAAATTTTGGCCTCAAGGTGGTGCTAGAGGAAGAGTCAGTGGATCACTAAAGTCATTGGGTTCATCCTCTGGGAACCAGGAATGTCTGTAGCAAATGTTGACTGACCAGCACTGCTGTATAAAAAATCTATTTATCCCAAGAAAGCAAACAATAGACTTTCTCAAAGTGTGTTTCTCTACTTCTTCTCTGAGCTCTGACGTAGTTCAGCAATGACACATAAACATCAATCAACATGGGGCCATTTAGACAATTTGAAAAATGCTAACAACTACATGTTAGCAACTATAATTCTAAATGTTATCCAAATGAAGACACTGGGCAAATACTGACACTTTAATAAACACTGGAATTATGGGTTTTTTCTGCACGTCTCATGCTTTTTGCAGGACCTTTTATTTCTCTGAAAGCAGTCAAGCGAGCCATCCTCTATAAAAGTTCACAGGACAAACTGAAGCAGGAAACAAATCTTCCAAATTCCCAGTTTCCGTGATCATGGTTCAGTTACTAAGTAAACAGAAAAGTGGATTTGCTTTGCGCAATCACACAGAGATAAACTTTATCATCCTGGGTGTTACTGAAATAATCAAATCAAGGATCAAGAGTTTTTACAAACTAATAGCGAAAGCCTTAACAGCGATCAACTTACTGGATGCGATTATTTTGGAGGCTCCAACGTGTTTTAGTACTGTTTTTTTTTAACAGAGATTTCATTTTGGAATGATTTTCTTCACTTAGTCTCTCCTCTGAAGCATTAGGGGTAAGTGGCTCTAAAAATAGACTGTACAATGTCAACATTCTGGCGCCCCATAAACAAGCAGGATTAAATTAGCCGATCACTGTTTCCTCTCCGACCATGTGCGTCTGTGCACAAGGTATTGTCAGAAAGAAGGTGTTCAGTGTGTGTTTCACACGCTAAAGTTACAAATTCCCATGCGTCAAGGATCCTGTAAAAAGCTTCACTGTTTTTATACTGGTGCTATTTTGCAAGAACACGTGTTGACATGATGCCCAACTCTCGAGTCCATCACTCCGCAAGAAGAACCACTTCCAGTCACTGACCCTCCTACTGTAATAACACACACGGTACTTTCTGGTGATTTTTTTTTGCGTCATTGTTCTTTCAACATCAACAACCTGACCATGGAAACAGCTATTAAGCAATCATGGCCAATATAACTGTCAGACGTTGCTTTTTGTGTAAACCATTACATCTCCACTTTGTCTCTGCTTCTCCCTTCCACTCCTTCTCTCCCTCGGCCTCTCTGCCCACGTCTCCCTCCTTAAAAAGGCATAGCACGAGACTTATCTGCACAGGTTCCCCTACACTCTCTCTCTCTCTCTCTCTCTCTCTCTCACACACACACACACACACACACACACACAGTGTTGCAAATGCAAAACCTTTAAAGTGGGATCACAATCCGAGTAAAAGTTTGCACATGGGATACGTCAACTTGCACCTGTCTATTTATATTTGTAACATTCAGCCAATGTGTTGTCATCTATAGCTGCTATTTCTTTATTTTGTGGAATTGAGACCTGAATATATTCTGATAATAGTATCAGATATTTTAAAAGCAATTTAAAAAGCTGAATTTGTCTATTTTGCCATTCTATGGAGTGAAATAAAAGGGTGGTTTGGGACATAGTGGTCGTAGGCTACCTCGTGAACCAAAAAGACAAAGCACTCCACTGATTTTACACCTCAAATTAGCATGTTCTTACCATGTGAGAACCGTTGCATAATTCTTCTGTGGCTGTGATACTGGATACAGCTTTGGAGTCCGGGCTCCATTCATTCCTGTGAAAGCTGCACAGTGGCGCATGAAGCCATTTCCGGTTACAAAATTCCGCAAAAACATTTCTGCATCCCTATTGATAACCTTTCAGATCTTCAATTATACCCGATCAACAGAGCCCACCTCTATCAGAGCTACTATGAACATAAAAAAAACTACAAAACTAACAAAGTAAAGTCAGGACAAGGATGGCATGGACACACCTGAACACGAGTGATCCCTCTGTGGGAAAAGGTCATGTATATTTCCTCAGTATGAGATATCTGAATAAAAAAAGCTTGTTTTTATTTTGTTTTTATTATTGGGGTGTGCTTACCCCAATAATGCTACATTACATTTTAAAAAAAAGGGCATTGCAACTAAGTAAATCTAAAATCTGCAACATTCAGTACATTCCCAACATAATAGTCTTTGCTTACACTTCATTTCAGGATTTTACTTCACACCCAACAGTGTGTGAAACCACCCTAAGCGGACCAGAAACACTTCTTGGCCTGGTATTTTTACAAACACTCTGAGGTGCAATAACTACATGGTCCAGATTGTACTAATGACTCCAAACTGATGGCCTCATGTTATACTCAGTGGGCCGTGGCAGGGGTGTGTGTGTGTGTGTGTGTGAGTGTGTGGAGTGCGCGGGGGGGGGGCGGCATGGAAAATAGAGTTACAGCGGTGGGAAACTCTGCTGACATCTCAGAGAGGAAGAGAGGGAGGAGAAGAGAGTGTGGATGTGTGCCTGTGTGTGTGCGAGAGAGACACATTGAGAGAGAGTGAACCAGAGAGAGTGGAGCTGGAGCTGGTCTTTGTAATAGGAAATGATGGGAGAGCTGTTTGAGGGCCGCATGGTTTTGACCCTGTGACCGCTTGCAGTCGTGAGAACCGAATCCCAGGCCATGTGTCCTTAAGATCCGCACATCAGCACACACGTGCTGCTGCACGCACACACACACACACACACACACACACACACACACACACTTGCACTGTGTGTTGCAAAAATACATATCAACTAAGGCAGAGAAAGACAGTCCACAAAAGAAGCAGGGAAATGATCATACCTTCTCACCAGTACATGTGGACTGGTGCCAACTATGCAGCCCCCCCCCACCACCCTGCTGAAAATAAGTCGCCCAAGTATGTTTTGTTAAGGATTTCATACACTGCCTTCCCCTTATTCGCACTCAATTTGAGGCCTATATGAAGACAAAAGCCCAACCAGCCCAATGGTGACAACAGTAGGAGGGGAACAAACGGATTTTGAGGAAAAAACTATCTGTGCACTTCAATGCACATTTTGTTGGAATTATTTAATCCTTAGAAGAGTTTCTTGAACTCTCCCAGAGGTATTTTTTTGGTAAGGTGTGACTCTCACAAGTACTGAAAACACAGGGAAAAATCCAGGTGGAAGAAGTGAAACAGTGCTGCCTGGAACCCCTTCCCTTCCCTCCCCCAGATAATTACCCATGTGCCCTTGGGCAAGACCAAGACAACCAGTTGTAGGTACACCACAACTGGTTTGATGCTGGACGGCTTCCAGGTGCAGATGTCAGTGCTGGGTCAACACTCCCAGTTCATAAATCTTCCAGTTAGGCAGCACCATCTCCACACACACAAACACAAACACACACACACACACACACACACACACACACACACACACCTCAAGTCATGGTGACTGGACACACAGTCAGATTTCAGATGCAAAGTGGAACTTTCCAACAATCCAAAGTGCAATTTCTAGAGTCTTTCTGTACTGACAAGAGATCTTCAGCAGATGTGTCTTCTGGCACACCATGGAGTCAGCCGTGTGTAAAGTCTGCTGATTGCCTTTTCTAATTGTTCCAGGAGCTGTCATATAGACTTGCTAGTATGTAGGTCAAATTAAGGGATGGAGTTTAGCCACTTTTACTATCCCGACATAAAGCATTTCAGCATGCATCTATAATAGTGAGGAGATAATTGAAGAAAATGGGGAGAAACTGTGGCACAAGTTCCCTGCGGGGTATCTGAATTAAAAGCACAGAATGAAGCAACGAATGCAGCGATCTGGAATCAAACTTTAAAAAAAACTTTACCTCTGATTTCCACACAACATAAGCGTGCGAGCTGGACGGCTGTACTTTCCTCTGGAGCCACCTCCGCGGAGAGAACAGCGTGCCGGTGCTGCCGGACGGCGCCGCACCGGGTCCCCTCACCAGATACGGTAAATCCCCGGCGGTATTCCTTTTGGCACGCTTCACCGTATCAAAGTCAAAGTGGAAGTTGGAGGATGGAGAAACATCCAAAGGTATGGAAGGAGATGAGAGGGACGGGGTTATGGGCTCCTTAAGTGTCGGAATCTTGGTGCGTAAAGCCGGTTTCAAAGTCAAGCGCTCCGGAGACGCACCTGCGTCCGCAGCCGCCGCTCCAGAAAGCGATGCGCCACTTACTCCCTCGGTCTCGGAGTCACAGTGTCTTATGATAGCGGGGTCCAAGCTCCGGGTTTGGCGTAGCCTCCGTTTTGTCATGACTTTGGACGCAGGAGAGGAGCAGGAGAAGACGCTGTTGAGGAGTCCTTGTGCGGCAGACATGTCTCCTTATTTTGGATCTCACATCAGCGCTGCTCAGTGCGTCTCTCTAAAGCTCCACGACCACTATAAGACGAGTTTAGTGTTGCCCCATCAACCGAAAGGTCCAAGTACGAGCTGGTGAGGAGCTGGAATGTGTCGCATTTGGCTGCAGACGCTGCGTAAAGTGGAGAAAGAGCAAATCTTCACTTCCTCTCCTGCTTTCCTCTGCACGCTGGTCATTCCCAAACTGGAGTGGAGTGAGAAGACAGTTTGAGAATGTGTGTGTGAGTGTGTGTGAGTGTGTGGGAGGGGGGTTCAGAAAACATGAGATCAGTGCTTACACACACACACACACACACACACACACACACACACACACACACACACACACACACACACACACACACACAGTATGAAAGCAACAAACTTAATGTCCAAATATTCTTTTATGAAGCACTTGAATTTTGTTTTTCAACTCTCCAGGTGAGTTTGAATTTGAAGAGTCAACTTCAGACCCCCAGGGCTCCTCTTTTTTCTTTGTTGATAAAATGTAAACAACCTCCAGATGATCCTCAGTGGGTGACCACCACTCTCATCCACCAAAATCCAGCCAGAAAACCATCATTTTATCCCCAACTGTCTGAATTCATAACACTTGGACACTAGCAACTTTGTGTTCTGCTGCCTTTGCGATTTAAAATGTGTGGTTAGATGAGTTTCTATAATTAATAAGTTCATTTTCGTAAAGGTAATTAGGCAAGAAGACAGACACAATAATCAGACAGGCAGAAGGTCATGCATACAGACAGACATGATTTAGCCAGGGATGAAAATAGGCGTATTAATCCTGTCTCCCATTAATCCACCTCGCTGTCTGGGAATAATAGGCCTATCAGTGAAGCCTGCTGTGTGCTATTATTAGCCAAACAATAAGTGAGCCATATGATTCATAGCCACTGCCTTTCTTTATACACCTGTGCAAAAAGGCCATATTCCAGATATTTGTTTACACAGATGCTTGTGGAGGAGCTCAGCGATGTCGGAGTGTGTTAGGATGGGTCTGTGAGTGTGTGTGCATTTGTTTAAACTGGTGAGAGTGTGCGAGAGAGAGACAGAGAGAGAGAGCAAGAGCATGTGTGGCCCAGTGTGTGAAAGTATGGGAAAAATGAAAAGAGACAGCAGGAGTCTGGAGAGGAGGGTGCCGGACGGGCTGATAAAGGAGCTTATGAAGCTGCGCCGCATGACACGCTCGCACACATACACACAAACACAGCATGACATGACAGTGATAACAGCTGAGATAGATTTGACCCTTCTAAAAACAGTCTGCGGGGGGGGAAAAAAAGAGTGAGACGCGGACTGAGTGAAAACACAGAAGCAGGACTTACAGAAGGAAGACATGGTGTTCTGCATTAGTTTATAAAGTAAAAAGGTTTATGGAAAGAAGCCAACACTTGAGGCCCTGAACTGTGCCCATACTACATTTTGGGAAAAATCCAAAAACAACATGGAACAATAGTGCAAAATTGAGGGGATATTATACAAATAAACCACAGATTTAGAAAGCACAGACCCCTTGCAGCATCCTTGACTTGCTGCCTTCGAGCTCTTCATCATATGTTGCAGACAATCTGTGCATTGCAGGACTCGGGTTACTAATGCGTAACCATGGCAAACAGTTAATGTGAAACAGTGATCATTTGACATGACTGTCAAAATACATCAGACGCAGTCAGGGTGGAAAGGGAAGGAGAGTAAATCAACAGGGCTACACTCCAGCCAGTCACGTTCAATGTTACATACACACTGTTTCCATATTTGGTGCACAATGGAAGAGCAGCGCTGCCTGAAACCATTTTAAGCAAAATGAGCTTCGAATTCAGCTGTGGGGACATGGTTTCCTGTGCCAGGGATCAGTGTGCATTTTCATTGTCCAAGCCTGTTAGACAGATATGAATGAAATGGTCACAAGGTCAGCAGCAACAAAAGAAATCATATTACTCGTAGGCCTAGATATGGAACATGAAACAATAAACCAGTGACACAGGGTCTATTTTTAAAGACAATTAACATTACAGTCGGTGGATTCCAGATTTAGTGCTCCAACAAATAAATAAGTAGATTTCCTTTAAGTGCTTAAACTCAGATATTAAGGAAGTAATTGAATGTGTTTGCAAGCATAAAGCACGGTATCAAATTAAATACACGCCGTTTGTACCCCGGAGCGATGTATGCATCCATCCGTGTTCCTGCTGCACATGTAAACATAACCGTACTGTATATATTTAAGAGCCTCCATATTGTTCCAATAGAGGAAGATTAGATTATTGAGCTGTGGTGAATTTTCTTTTACAGTATTTCACCTCAAGGTAGAGGGTCTTTCCCTAAACTGATGACCCTAAAACATGTTTTGCTACCCTAAGGTAAGTGGGTGTATGATACCCAGGGTTGCTTCATCTGTATAGGTTGGTTTAATACAGATATTTAATCTTAGAATATGATCATGCAGAGTTGTAATTGAGTCCAATATATCCTCTGCAGGTTTTTTAATAATTTTCATGTCATGGATCCCTAAACAGACACAGATGGCGTTCCTCTTTGGTGAGATTGTTATCCCTCTTGTAGGATCTATTTTTTCCATCTGGATGTGCAGATTATAAAGATGAAGATAAAATGTGTAATTAAAATTGGGATGAATAGAACGGAATGACAGTACAATCTCTTTCACGTGTTTTTTTAATGGATCCCTGAAGGACCCGAAGTTTGGAAGCTTAATATTTATGATGTCACTCGTACACACGGCCTAAACAAAAAAAACGCTAATACAAAGTGCTAATAAGTAGGCTTTAGACTAAATAAATACCCTGCATGTATTCAGGCTAATTAACCTGATGGAATGAAAGCAGTCTGGTGGTGACTTCACCACTGAGGCAACTGAGTTCATGGAAGTGTTTTTGTGCGCATATACTGACATCTGTTGGCCATTTCTGGAAATTGCACCGCTACTACGGCGTCCGTGAGAGACCATTTGAAGTAGTGGAATTGCGATTTTCATGCTGCCTTCACTGTTATTGGGAAATGTTGCGAGTAGAAGTTATACATTCAAAAATGACCAAAACAAAGCAACGAAATGCTACACAATGGATGAGGATGGATAGGATAGGGGTACTTTAGTGTCTATTCAAATGCCCTCACACATTAATGACATGGAAATAAAAGTTATAAATTCTTGAAATATTTACATCAACATTGAACCTCATATTGAAATTGTGACAGAGACGTGTGTCTTTAATGTTCAGTTTCATGTATAAACAAACCTCAGTCAGATAAAGGATTCAAAAGGCAGACTTTAGTATATATGTGCTGATTTAATCGCACAGGCTCACATATATGAATATTTGCTTGGGAAAAAAAGCCCCTAAATGAAAATATCTTAAGTCAAAAACTTTACATTGTTGAGTATTAAATACAAATATCTTAAGGTGGCATAAGAAAGCAATATATTGTTTGATTTTACCACATTTCCACAGTCTAAAATAGAGCCATAACAGATCATTAAATTACCTGTTAATTTCCATTTCTTAACATCTTCTTTTTTTTTAAATTAATTTAAATTCATTTGTTTAATTTGACAGCATTTGACACCAAATTAGGGTGGCATGGTAATTTCTAGGGGTGGGAGCCACCACCCCAAGCCACCCTGTAGGACTACAATAACCAAGCAAACACGGAGGTCTGCAAACAAACCCAAACTTACCAGTGTTGTTTCCATCCAGCAGCTGTCACTTTGAGTCCAATCCCGCCAAAATAGCATATCCAATAAAACCCACATGAAATATCCACTGTTCAAAAACCCCAACACTAACATTTTCACCTGCTTGTCTAGTAGTGGAGCTAATATCAGCAGGACACTTGCAGACATAGAGAGATTAGTTGCTGAGAGTGAGGAGAGGTTTGTGAGGGAACTGGTAAGGCCACAAGATTCAGACCAGAAACGCTCTGATCTGGACTTTTTCACACTTTTATTGTTGTGCTTGAAAGATAATTTCATTCTGTTTTGAGCCACCCTGCCCTCCCATGCATAACGAACAGTCCCTATCCACAGCGGCCCATGTGCAAAGTCCGGTTCTGTTTCCGCAGACCCGAAAGGGGGAAATTACGAGGTGCCCATGAAGGCAGCAAAAGCCTATGGTTGCATTTGTCCCACAACAGCGCCATCCCTCCGTGCTCTGTTTTTGTGGAAGACCCCTCACAGGAAAGAGCTTGGCAAGGAAAGGGTTAAGGAGTTTATAGGGTCCAGATCGATGCCCCTCTCCCACACGTCGCCATGAACAAATGAATTCGCGGGGAATTAAATATCAATTTCACAAAGGAGAACGAGTCCTGTGCTTTGAACCCGACCCCACCAAGGCTAAAGTGTTGTATGACGCTAAGGTAATGTTTTGCTCAAGTCATTTAGCTCTACGGTATGAGGACTTAGTAGAAACAACTAATATATATGCTGGAAAAGCAAGGTAGATACTGTAATGTTAAAGGAACAAGGTTGGGAGTCGACCGTGAAGGCCACTTTAGGCCTTTGTAATATAACGTTAGCTGTTCATATAACGCTAACTGATTTCCGGGGTACGTTTGATTGCACATGTTTCTTGAAGCGCATGTTTTTAAGTAGTAAAGACAAATAACGTTGTGTTGTTGTTAGTTCGTTTTAAATTAAGACTCCCTGGTGAGACATTTCGGTCAAAACTATTTACCATTGCATGCAATAATGTTATTTAAATTAACGCCGGAGATATTTTATAGCCGGAGTAGTTATCATTCAGAGGACTTTAATGCACCTAAAACACACAATAAACAAACGCACCAACACATCTGCCCCGCTAACTTGCTCAACACGGAGCATTGTAACGTATCACTTACTGGTGTCTAGCTGTTTAAATGCCATTGCATGCAAACTAACGATATTGTGTTAATGTGTTTTTTGAAACTTGGTCTGCTAACGTGGTGCACAATGTTGTTTTCACTGAGCTAACGTTAGCCAGCTAGTTAGCTGTCAGGCTAAAGCTAAAGCAGGGCGACTGAGTGTTTACATCGACGCACACTGGGTCGGGTTTTGCTAAATGTTTTTGAGTTGCTGTGGTGTAAGAAGCTTCAGGTATTTCACTGAACTAGTTGTACAACAATGTAAAATATTAACATACGTATTATTATTATTATTATTATTATTATTATATACGGAATATTAGTAAT